CAGTTTGCGTGAGGTGATCGGTTATTCTAAATGAAGAATGAAGCCACGGATGTATTTCGTGCTTTTGAAAAAAAGAACTTTGAAAAACATCCGATTGTCCTTCATGTAGGAAAATCACGAACCTTCTCGCATCTAAGATTTCAATTAGTATGTTAGTTCTACTTCATTTATTGTATTTTGAAAAATAGAATGACATTTTTTAATCAGAATATCAAACACAAAATGCATCAAACAGTATTAATTTCATACTCTGATTAAATGAATGCATTTCATTCATTATGTAATTCTGATTATTTGTTTATAAATTCATAACTTTTAAAGATTAATCTGTAGACGATATACTAAACAAAAAGAAAGAAAACCATTATCAATATAAAAGATTGAAAACGAATCTAGATTAACGGACCTTAAATGTTGTTATCTTCAATTTATGTTTATTTCTAATAAATTAATGAATGCTAGTATTTTTCATATTAAAAGTCAGGTTAATTATGTCTAATTTCGAACAAAGAATATAATGCTATTTACAATGAAATAAGCTAGCTTTCTTGTAGGCTTTTATTCTTTTGAAAGAAAATAAGATTAATTCAAACTTCATTATATGATATAGTCAATTCTAAACAAACTAAGATGAATATTGTCTGTTATTAAATTAAATATCGTACGTAAAGCTAGCCCTAATTGAATTTCTTTCTTGACAATTATATTCCATCTAATTCGATTATTTAGTGTATTATCGGTATTATTGTAAGTGTATCGTTGAATAAATTAGTTTTAAAAATCAAGATGGATTACTAGATGGAAGTCTTTCTTATTTTGTTAGTATCATCTGGTAGAAAAATTTAATCCGATTAAAACGAAATTTACATAGTCAGCAGTGTGTTATAGCATAATTAACTGTTGTTTTGATATAGAGATTAGGAAGTTGTAATTAAAAACCATTCATTTAACTTATCAGAATTGAAATATAGTTGAAATCCAAAAAAGAATAGTTTAAAAAGTTCATTCCATCTTGAATAACTAATTAATATCAAGGAAATTATATTAATTTAATTGATAAAAAATAGAAATGTACGTATATTTTGATTTTTCATAGAGAGAAATATATCCATGCAAGCATCTACTAACAGCAATAGTAGCAACAACATAGAACATAAAACGAGAAGAAAATAACGTACAAGAAAATTGTTTTAGCGATTTCCTTTAAACAATCTTGGTCGTTTGTTTGACCATATAGGAACAAATTGAAAACGTAAACGAAAATGATGATTTTTCGTATGAGAAACTTCATTCATACTCAAATTTTGTCGTTGCTGTTGTAATTCTTGTTGATTTGTTAAATCATTCGAATTTGATATCTCATCACCTGAAAATGGGTCATGTGTTGATACATCAATATTCTTCATTAATGTTTGATGTGATGGTCGTTGAAAAGGTTCATTTTTACATAATAATTTTGAATTGAAATGACACCAACATGGAAAATATTTTTTTATTAAATTTGGTAAACGTGTTAATAATAAACTGTCACCAAAACGAGCAAATAAAAATAAAAAGCGACATATTGTTAATGTTAGTTCATTATGGTCAGATAAAATATTATCTAAATTGCTTCTATTAATATGACTAGGATTAGAATTATAATCTTTTGACGAATCATCTTTAATAATATATTCATAAAATTGTCTTAAATGAAATAACATTTGAATAACATGTTGTGGAAATGTACACAAAACATATTTAAGAAGAAATAATAATAATAAACGATAACATAAATGACAATATGAACGCCGTCGTTTTATTTTGACTAATGTTGTCCGTAAAAATAAATCATTTGCTGAATTTCGTCCTATATCACTTTGTTGTTCATTAGAAAAATCTTGTTGTGAACGATTACATTTATTTAAAAGAAAATTTCGAGTTATTTGACCTGGATAAGATGCACGTAAACGTGAATGAATATCATTCATCATTGGAATACTTTCATAAGACATTGTTGAATATTTTCGTTTGTCATCTAATGGTATTAACGATGGTCGTGTACTTGATGTTAGGTTAGTACCAAAAAATTTTGAATGTAAAGTTGTATATGGATCTGTATCTTGAAATATATTTCGATTTTGTTGTAAAAATCTTGTATAACATTTAATACATGTAGTTTTCTCAATTGTTGAACGTACATTATTTGTTAACTGCTGTTGTTGAAGTTGATTATCAAATAATAAATCATGTTGTATTAAAATATTATATTTATATAGATTAATAATACAACAAACAATAATAAATACAAAAATAATAAAATCAATTAATGGTAATAATATCATATTCAATGTGATTAGTGGAAGTAATTTTATTGTGTGTGTATGTTTTGGTGTATAAAATATATAATTATAACCGAATATAAGAGCTAATGAACCACTTAAAATCAAAGCAACATTTGTATGTTTTGTTATTAAAAGATTTTTTCCTTTGTATATATTCAATGAATATTTCTTTTTTGCCAAACGATAATAACGAATAAAATATTGTAAAATACTTATGGATATAATAAATAAATGAAATGCACTGAAATTTATTAATATTTGTTGTACAAGTGTTAATGGTAAAGAGTAAAATGTTATAGAGGAATAATGTAAAAGATTTGGATGATAGTGTTTTACAATTAAAGTTATAAAATAGACAAGTGAAAGACAAATATTGGAAAATGAATATGCCCGTATCCAATTACGATGTAAACAATTATAGAGTAAAGATTTTGATGGAAAAATAATTGAACGACGTTGCTGAGATTGTTGTTGTTGTTGATCACTATGAGAAATGAATAGAGGGAAATTATTGGAAATGGTTTTTGTTTTACTATATCTCCTACTTAGTATCAAATAAAGCTTGTTTTGATAGTTTTTTTTGATATGTTAATATAAATATAATTAGATTTTCAATAAGAATAAAATAAAGAAAACATATTTCAATCATTTGTAAATAAGAGAATGTTTTACGTTGTTGTCGTTGTTGTGGACGTGATATTCGTTGATTTGATGTTCCAAATGGAGAATATAACAATTTTTGTTGAAATTGTTGAAACCATAGAGTTCCATTTAATAATTTTGTTGTCGTATCGTTATTATTTATTGTTAAATTCATTCTTTTTTGACACTTATCAAAGTTGGAAAATATTTTTGAAATTTTCTTTTTTGTTAAATCAAATTAAGAAAAACGTACACGTCACATATGTAACTCAAAAAGAATTATATTTTAATCTAGAGAATGTATAAGGCAAAATATATGAGATTATCGAAGATATTAAAAAAATGCTTTTTTGTTATTAATTTTTCTTGTTTTTTTCTTTCAAACGATAGAAAAACTGCACTTTTATTAATCTATATACGAACGTTTGTAATTAGTTAATTTCTACTAGAGTGCATTTAACGACATATATATTATTCATAGTTCACTACTTCTTTTCTTCTTTTTTCTTTTTTTACGGCCTTTAAATTCACTCATCGACACCATTTTTGCCCATTACGATCATTAAAAAAACGAGATATCTCGTTGAAGAAGAAAAAAAACGAACAAAAGACAAAAAAAAATTCCCTGAAGGCAAAATGAATGAGAGGATGTGTATGTTCAAGTCAAAAAAAAAAATATTCATCTGTGATGTGATTCAAATAAGAAAAAAAAATATAGGACAAATGCGAATAATTGCACGGATGGTGTTGTTGACAAGGCGTTAATTTGAATAAAGATATGCATCTTTATGAGAATTAGTAAGAGAAAACCAGAAAAAGAAACGAGAAAGAAAATCGGCATGAAAACAAGAAATGAAAGTGACGCGATGTAAGACGTGTTTTGACATTAGACTTTTCCTCGATTTATCAGTCTTTTTTTGCTCTGTGACCTTTAAAAAAATTACTTAAAAACAAAAACTGTTAAAAAACGGAAATCTATTATTACTGATGTGAACATTATATGAATAAAAAAATAAAATATCATGTTATGCTAATAATCTAAAATTATCGATAAACTCTACCATAATGTAACATACCCAAATCAGTTTGAATCATTGTTTCTGTAAAAAATGTATTATTTTTAAACTGATAATCATCTGGATATGAACCATTAAATTCAATTCGTTTATCCGAAACTCTTTCAACTATATTTATGTGTGAACCTACAAAAAAAAAATCATACAATAAGATAAGATTTGTATATTTAAAATGAGTATGTGAAGAAAAATTTTTGATCATCATGTTTGTAAATTTTACCATCGATAAATGAGATAATCATATTACGTTGAAACTTATCATCGATTGAACAAAATGATGATGAGATATTTTCATGATTGTTCGTTGTTGTTAAAGAAATGAGAGAAGGTGGAAACAGAAAAATAAATAGTGTTCGAAATAATGATGCAAGATTCGATTGTACTTTATTCAATGTTGTTTTTTTTAAAATTGTATTTGAATGAAGTTCAATATTATCGATATTGATTTTTTTTAGTTTACCCTGAAGATGACGAATAGATGTTGTTAATGGAACTAAAAAAGAAAAAACAAAAAAGAGAAAAATCATCGGTAAAAAAAACAACAACTGATTTTTGGCGGTCAACCGAAAAGGGAAGATCTTATTTCTTCATCTTCTTATATTTTTTCTCGCTTCTTTCGACTGCAGATTTATTCCTGGAGCTAAATCAGTTTTTTTCTTCTTCTTTCCTTTCTTTTATCATGCCAGATCATATCTCGTTCAAGCTCTTTTCTTCATCTTTTTTTTTTTTGTCTAATATTGAATGGAATGACGATGTTCTTATTCCAGATTGATTTACTTCTGAGAACGAATAGCATCGTTTTTTTGCTCGTCTTACAGGCCAAGTAGTAGAATTTTCTCGATCGTTATTCTTTTCTTTTGACCATATTCCTCTTCAACTATTCATTTCGATAATGTGACGATGAAGGACCTCTTATTCTCTTTCTCATTGCTTTTCACTATCTTACAATGAAATCATTTCCCAAATGTTTGACAGCTAAAATATGAAAGAAATACTGACACACACACACACATATATATATATATATATTTATATAAATATAGCATGTGAATATATATAGTTGTAAAAAAATAATCAAACAAGTCACATATAGAAATATTCATAATGTACTCTTTGCTAAAACGTTAGTTCTTCTATTTCTTTAGACATGTCTCTTCACGAATAAAAATGAAGTTTAGGTACTTATTCAAATCAAGTATACTCCTACGTCGACATGCAACGTTGTTATTATTGTGTGAGCTCTTACAAGAAATTTGAATTATTTTATATTTCTTTTATATAGACACACTTATTTGAACATGAAATAATGAATACTCGATGAATTTGATGAATTAAGATTTAATCTCATATAAAATAAAGCCGAATATAATAATCACCATTGTTCTTTTTGTGATTAAAATTTTTTTTCTTATTAATCATACTGATAATAATCATTCTAATATAATTTATTCATTATTTTTGCATAAATGAAAATTTTCTCAAGATATATATGACATAAATTACGTAGAAATATGAATTTATTTGTAAAATTTCTTTTGCTATCATATATTATGTAAAAGAGAAAATAAATCAAATTATAGACAAAAATAAATAAATAAATCAAAGTTTCATTTACCTTCATAAACAATAACATCACATGTAGTTGTTGCAACACCAAGTGCATTCTCAGCTGAACATGCATAACGTCCAGTATCAGATATTTGAACGGGATAAATTCTAATAAAAAAAAAAAAACAGAAATTGATAAAATCAAATCATTTTCATATGTTTTCTTTTTTACTTCAATGAATTATTAGGTAATATTTGTATTCGAACATCATCAAGTCCTGTTAGACTAGTTCCATTTTTTGTCCATTTTAATGTTGGTTCAGGCCATGCGTCGGCAAGACAATTGAGCATAAGCATTGAACCATTGACAGGTCGTTGTGTCGATCGAGGCAATTTAATTGTAAACGTAGGTTGAGCTAAACATAAGCAAATAAAACATACATGCATAAATCGGAAATGACGAAGACATTCGACAAGAAAAAAAGAAAAAAATAACAGAAAACACAATGTAAGAGGTCATAAGAAGAAAAGAGACAAAAGGAAAAAGAAAAATAAATGTAACGCGTGCATATGTCTTACTTAGAATATTAACTGAATGATAGGATTCTGAACGAGTACCATTATCATTTCGAAATACACATTTATAAACACCGGAATCCGAACCCTATATATAGATATATAAACAAAAAATAATGCAATTATGAACAAAAAACTCTTATAGAGCATATTTTTACTGATGTTTGATCTATAATTAATGTGCCATTACGATAATCAATTTTATTTCGTTTGAATGAATTTAATTTTAATGGTGATCCATTATGAAACCATTCGATTGTACCAAGAAAATTTTCATTTTCACCTATTTGAATTTCACATGAAAGTGTTAATCGATGGCCAGATATTACCGCACGATCTTGACTGTTCGGATGAGCTAAACAAAAAAATAAATTTAAAATCTCATATATCTTTAAAACAAAAGAAAGCTTACGACGAACAGTAACTGTTACAGGCATGGACATGATAAATTGTTGATTGAATGAATGATTTGAAAAACATTGATAAATTCCTGTGTGTTTATCAATAGCTTTATTTATTCGAAGAATATTTCGATCATGAAGATATGTGAAATATCTATTATTATTTACAATATGACCATTATGCAACCATTGAATGTCAAATGGATTAAGTGCATTTGTTTGACAGCTTAATTCTAATTCATCACCATAATCAACAATTAAATTATTTGGTGATATTATTAGAAAAGGTATTTGCCCTAAAACAAAACAAATTCGTATAATTACATAATAAATAAGTTGAAACTTTTCAGTCAAAAATAAAGAAAAGAAATTTATTTACTTGGAATATTTTCATATACAATTGTTGCTATCGTTGTTGTTGTTGTTTGAGAATCAAGAACAATCAAAGTAAATTGTTTTGATGTTTGACCAATTGTATTTTTTGCATAACACATAATTTCTCCAGCATGATGTTTTCTTTTACATACAAGACAGTATAAATTTTTTTCCTTTTATTTATGTTAATTATTGACTTACTCAAGTTTATTTATGTTTAAATTCCCAAATGAATCAATAATGGCTGTTCCTGATATATTATATATGCCACGCCAAGTTATAGTTGGTATAGGAATTCCATTAGCTTGACATGACAATTTCACTGATTGACCAACAATACCAGTATAATATCTTTCAATTTGATTAATCGATGGTGGAACTAAAAATATTACATAATTCTAAAATACTTAAATCATAAAATAATATAAAATAGAATACCTTGAACTTCTAATCGAATTTGTGCATGAGTACGTTGAACAAGATTTTCTGCCCAACATATATAATAACCTGTATCTTGAACTTGTAAATGATGAATTCTCAATGAACCATTGTTTAAAATGTGAAAGCCTATTTATAAATTTTACAAAAAAATATTTTGTGATTGTTTTTTACTTTAGAAATTGTTTGTATAAAAAATAAAAAAGACTCATGCTGTAAAATAAAAGAACAGTAATTTACATAATGAATCTGTATTGTTATGTATTTTGTTTTTTATCTCTTTTTTTAATATACGATGTATAACTAATCTCATAATAAGTCGAACTAGAGATTTCATCGATGAAAATGTTCTACGAAGAAACTTTTTTTCTTTACTCTTCGATAGAAAATTTTCTTTTCTTTCGGATTGCATACGATTTACTTTAATTATAGACTAATAAAAAAATGGCAAGAAAAGAACCAAAAAAACAGAAAGAAAAACACGCACACGATAAAATTACTTTTTTTGCTATGGATCTGTGAGAAAGACCTTGCAGATGATAATTAATTTGATTTTTTACATAATGTCATCAAACAAAGAATTTGAACGACAATAATTAAGTCGATTTTTCTCAAAATGAACATGTAAAACAATATTTAAGCATCATTGAGCGTCATCTTACATAAGTATTTTTTTGATAAATTCATATTCAAATCACTAAATTAGTATGCCAGTATTCCTTATTTTTCTTTTTGTCTTGCATCATTTAACTTATGTAAATGTGACAGAATCAAATTACTTACAGTTCGAAAGAACAACATAGACTTCTTCGTAGGTACTTGAAAAAAATATTTTTTATTTCTAAACGTGAACATTGAAGAGATGGAGAAATTAACACATTGTGTAATTACTTTATGCGACAAGTGTCAATTCATTTCTTAACAGTTTCTCTTTCTTTTTTTTTAAACATTTCGCTTACGCAGGGGCAACAAAAATTAATTAAAAACACTTTGAGAAAGGAGAATATATCCTATAAACTAATGAAAAACATTTTCTTTCTAGAAGGTTTGTATTGCAATATAAATATATATAGGTTAAAATGATATGACATTAGATTTCTATTGTATATTAGTTTTTTCTATTTTTTTTACCTGGTTGAGTATCAATTGAATGACCTGCTTTCGTCCAGTAAATGATTGGTAATGGATATCCATCAGCATGACAATTAAGTGTAATAGGTTTGTTAATAATGCCAATGATTTCATTACTTGCTACTGTGACTATTGGTGGAACTAATATAGAGAAAAGAGAAGAAAAAAATATTATGTGCAAAATAAAGCTATAGCATCGAGAAAAAGAAAAATGTAAAACAACACGGAAGTGAAAAGTAGATTGTTGTTTCCCTTGTACAGGAAGTATGTTAAAGAAAAAAAAGGAGAAAAAAATACAATAATGAGGAAATATTGAAAAAATGTTTACCATATATATTTAGATGAACGTCGATAGAATCCTGTCCGGCTTCATTTATTATTATACATTGATATTTACCACTATCATGTTTTGATGTATGCAGGAGTAGTAAGCTGTTTGATGATGATATTATATATTTTAAATCAATATTTCCTTCAGATACTTTTAATTCGACATCATTATGAAACCATCTATATATATATATAAAGAAAAGCATCGTTTGTTTTTGAAACAAGATGATCATTTTTTTCGTACTTGACAATAGGTATTGGATAGCCTTGTATTACATGACAGGGCAGTTCAACAGGCTTTGGAGATATGACAAGAAATGATGTATTTTCTCGTTGAATTCGTGGAGGAACTATAAGTAAAGAAAAATTATTCATATATGTTCTTATTAATTTTATGTAATTATATCGGTTAGATTAATCAGATTGAAAGTGACGAGTTAATGACGACATTTTATTTCCGACAACTGATAAGATCTCTATCTAATAATCAACGTCCAAAGAAAAAGTTTCAATATGAAAAGATCGTCGCTTTTTGTTTGATTCTAGAAAAGTCCTTTCGAAGGAACTTATCCGCCCAATAACTTTCATTTAAGCTCACATCGTACTTATGCATAGGATTCATAGTGCAGATAGAAATTATGAAAAGAGTTTATTCCATTAGGCCTTTCTTCTTAAATTTTGGTCATTTGAACACAGAATCGGATCGAATGGTTACGGTGAGAGTATTTTCAAATTTAAACAATTTATTATTTTCTCTTCCAAACAAGACTTTTTTGATAAAATAAATTATCTTGTCAATCATTGTCGATTAATAATTTTTACCAAAAACTATAAGAATAAATTGATTTTCATAATATTTCAGAATTTAATCTTATTAATAACATGAGTTTTGTTTCTTTCTTTTTTTTAATAATTTGGTAAATCAGAAAAAAAACTTCTTATGATATAATATGATTTAATAATAAGATATTTAAATAATTTTCGAAAATATCCGATTTTTCTTCTTTAGAAAAAAATTAAGAATCGTATTTCAATACCTAATACTGTTAAACGAAACTGTTCTTTTGCTTCACCAGCTTTACTATAAGCTAGACATGTATAAATTCCTGCTTGAGATGGATCAGCTTGAATAATAAGTAATTGAAAACCGGATGGTCCAATTCTAAGGAACCGCAAAATATTATAAATCTTTCTAAAAAAACTTTTCAATCTACTTTTCTTTTCTTACCTATAGCGTGAATTTGTTATATCAACCGGAAGACCATCTTTTTCCCAGGATACAGACGGCAATGGATCACCTAAAAAATCGAACAATAATTTTACAAAAGAACTAAAATAAATATTCTAGATAAATATTTCAACCATTTGCTGTACAAGTTAAAGTAATATGATAATGTTGGATGACATTCACATTATCTTCATTTGGATCACGTTGTATAGTTGGCGGAACTAAAATTAATCATAAAATCTACTAAATTTAATCGAATAATAAACTAATAATCATACCAAATATTTGTAAATCAATATGATTTGAAAGTTCACCAGCTATATTTGTTCCAATGCATGTATAACGTGCATTATCATTTAAATTAACTGAATTTATAATTAATACACGATTTTCATCAATTAATTCATATCGATCTAAATTATTCAAATAAAGTCTTTTGTTTGAGATCTTCTTTTTTTTTATTTTCTTTTTAACTTTACCATTATTTCTATTTAAATCTCGTCCATTTATGAACCACATTATATGAGGTTCAGGTTTTCCATACATCGGACATTCAAGACGAGCTGTTTGATTAAATTTAACTTGATAAATTTCAACTAAATTCGATCGATCAATTGTTGGTGGCACTAAAATATGTTTAATATAAGTTTTTTTTTTCTTGAATTTAAAGTATTTTTTCTTACTAAAAACATCTAATAGATATGTTAGGTTAACTTGACCAGCAACATTTGATATTTGACATGTATAAAAACCTGCATCTGATGAATGTGCTGCGTCAATTTGTAATCTAGCTCCATTTTCTAATAATCTATAGATAGAAAAAAAAACGGGCGTAATCTCATTAAAAAAACAACGCAATACGATTCATTATTCTTCAACCTTGCATATGAATGAGATTCTAATAGATTCTTGTCATCTTTGAACCATCTATAATTTACTTCTGGCACTCCAAAACCATGACATAATAATATAATGTGTTTTCCAAGTATAACATATGGATTTAGATTAATATTTGTTTGATGAATTTCTGGTGGTACTTAAGAAAAAAAAAAAGACACGTTTCATTTTGTTTTCGTGTTTTTCTTTTGATTCTGATATTTACTATGAACTTGTATATCGAATATTTGTTGTGAACGACCAGCTAAATTTTCTGCTTGACATTGATAACGACCACGGTCACTTAATGAAATATTTTCAATATGTAATTGAAAATTATTATCACTCATTGAAATTCTAAATTCAAATACAATTATAGATGAAAACTTGAAAAATAAAATGTTTTTTTTCAAACCTTTCTGAATCAAATAGTATTTGTTCATTTTTTGTCCAAATAATAGTTGGTAGAGGAATAGCATGAAGTAAACAAGTTAATACAAGAGATTCACCTTTTAATATAGTTATCTCATTTGTCAATTGACCATTATTAACAATCGATGGTGGTACTAAAATAAACAGAATATTTTGTTATTTAACATAAAAAATAAATCTTAAAATATACATAGAACATCGATATGAATATCTTGTTTTGCAATACCAATTTTATTTTCAGCTATACATGTATATAGACCAGTATCATTTAATGATGCACGAGCTATTTGATAATATCGATTATGTCCCGATGATAATCGACGACTAAAGAAAAAATAATTTATTTGTTTTTTTACTCATTACATTGATTAAATCACTTTTTAAAATGCCAGGAAATAATTGGTTCAGGCGTACCATTGACAATACATTCTAAAGTAAAATGGTTACCAGCTATTGGTGTTGAAATTGGACTTATTGATATTGAATCAATTGATGGAGGAACTAAACGTATACAATCAAAAGTATTGTTTTATTTAATATCTAACAAGAAAACATATGCAATCATTGGAAAATGTTTGATTTTATACTCTGATTAATTTCTATTAGACAAAAAAGAGATCTCAAAAAAATTCTAGTTCATGATATTCTTGTATTGAAATATGATCTACTACAATTTTGTTGTTAATAGGAAGTTTCTGACATTTTATGTGTGCGTTATTCTAGATTTTTACTCCTGTTAATAAGGACAGAAAAGCGAAAAGCATGACATTTGCTTTTTGCCAGAGGAGGCTCCTGTTATAGACATAAAAATATCATAGATTCGAAACCTTAGGTTATCTTTTGCCCTTCAGGATAGATGTGCACTTGAAAAATGATACCAACGTGCTCCAACGGTTAGAAATATTTTTTCATAATAAAGTCAAGATGCTTTCATCGTTTCAAAAATATTTAGAAAAATCCATGACATATATTTGCAACGATTTTAATTGGATCTATTTTATTCTAGAATGCGCATTCCTTTTATGAAAAGCGAGCGAGAGAAAAACGAGAGAGACAAGACAAAGTAACAAGATCAGGAAGTATGATAATCTAAACATGAAGATAGTAGAGGTAAACGGTAAATTCATTAGAAACACATAGTTAGCAGAGAAAGAAAAAGAGACACGGGGTGACAAGAAATGGCAAGAGATTGTTAAAACGCCATATATAAACAATCAACAAAACTAAAGAGCAAAAGCAGATGACAACACAACAAAAATAAACCGAGAACATCTCAACATTAATTTTCTATCTGAATGAAAAAAGAGAAAATAATAGCGTATGACGGGTAGCGTCAAGGCCACTTTTCAGTACAAAATATTTTCAAGAAAGAACTATATAAGGGTAACAAGGTCGATATATGCTACGAACGTAGATTAGTTATTTTCTATGTCATGACTTTCGGGTTTTTGATCTCCACACCCAACGAAATTTCGAGACAATGTTTTTCAAAAATAGCTAGGAATATGAAATCGACCACTCTGACCATGAATATTAAAATTATAACCCTCATAAAAGTAATACTGAAATGCGAAGTCGCTTTTATCAATATCGACATTTTAGGTTCCAAACTGAATGTTTTATCTCGTTTTCACATATGCTAGGCGCTAAAAGTTTGGACAGAAAGTCTTTAGATGTAACTTTTAAAGCTCTATTAGAATTCAGATGAATTATGATCATCAACTCATTTTAATAGGAAAAAACGGATAGGATGAGAATAGAATAAACAAAATCGCTATTTGGTTAAGAGTTTCTAATGCACTACCAATTTTTGAATTTAAAAGTAAGACTGTGTTAGTTAGAGGTAATTTTTCATGCTTTATCCAAGTGTCCCATTGAACTGATGAATCAATACCGACACTATATTGAAAATTGCGATATACAAATCAAAATATTATATTCTCTTCATTGTTCATCGATATTTTCGTCTTTCTGCTCATTTGTATTGGAATCATGCATATATATTTTGCTTTGATATTTGACGAAAAAAAAAAATTTTTTCTTCATCTAGTTGGAACGACAGCATAAATGTAATTTACTGTAAGCAAAAGTAAATTGATTTTATATTTGTACAACATATGATATCTATCAATGAATCCCCGTAGATGATGAATTGCTCTTGAGATAAAAATTATCCTTTTAATTTGGGTATACTATAAGTAAACAAAAATCCAAAAGAACTGATATTCATAGGGTTTTCTTCTTAAATTATCACTACTTCATTGTGTTTTTGATCAAGAGTGCGGTTTATGAAGAGAAATCAATTCTAAGAATTTTAGCCTTAACTGTTGCTCCTGAAGAGATCTCATAGTCCTCGCAATATATTAAAATTTTCAATCAAAATGAAAGTCATCTTACTGAGTTATAAGGTTTTCAATAAAACTGAACTTTCCGAATTCCTTGTAAAACACTTACAATTGTTGTCTATATAATATCACAAAAACGAAGTGTTCATTGTGATTGAAACTTTTTACGCACTTTATTAAAAATGTCTATGCATGTTTCCAATAGAAATTAACAGAAAAAATCTCAAGTGATATTCATCAGAAAGACAGAAATTCAAGAAAAATGACTATCTAAGTTTGTAACCCATATTATCCTCATATAGTTATCTCTTAAAGATATTTTGGGTCGAAAAATGTTCTTAATGCCACTCATCTTTTCACATCTTCTACCTATTTATGAAAAGATAAATTTTTCTATTATGATATATAATTATAATAATTAAGTTTGTCAATATTTGCGTCAAATAATTTGAACTATACTGTTGAATAATTATTGGCAACTTTTCCGGTGGAAAGTTGTTTAATTTAAATTTACATATTTAACAGAAACGTAATCAGACATTTTTCGGATACATCTTTACTTTCTTTAATACCAACAAAATTCTTATCTACGATGTATAAAAGCAATTTAAATTCATACGTCGTACCTAGAAGATTAATACGATAATGTTGCTCTGCACTTCCCGCTTCATTTGAAGCAATACATGTATAGAATATTCGTATGTCATTCTGTATCGATGCAAGTGTAACTGACAAATAATTATTACCATATTGTAAATGACGACCTTCTTTAAACCATACAATCTATAAAGTTTTATAATTAAAAATTTTATTTAACTTTTAATTATCATTACTGTCGGTTTTGGATTTCCATATGCTGAACATGTTAAATTTACAGTTGAATTATAAATAGCTTCAATATTTGTAATATCATTTTCAATTCGTGGTGGAACTTAAAAAAAAGTATTTAATAATATAAAACCAACTATTCCAATACAAAAAAAAAAAAACTTACCTAAAACTTGTAATTCAAGATTTTGTTTAGCTTTTCCTGCTAAATTTTCAGCTACACATGTATAAATTCCTGCATCTTTTTCATTTACATTACGAATTTCAAGATATTGATCATCGCGAAATAATTGAATACGTTTATTCTAAATCAAAAAACAAAATTATTCAAGAAAAAAAAACAAACATAAAATTCAATAAATTACATCGATAGAAAATTTCTTTCCATTTTTTAACCATTGTATTATTGGTTTTGGTATACCTTTAACTAAACATGGTAATGTATAAGTACGATTTATTTGAATTTTATGACGATTTGTAGATACATAATCAAACGTTGGAGGTAAAAATATATCAACAAAAAAATGTTTTTCACTTTTTCCGATTGAATTCGATGCGACACATGTAAATGTTCCACCATCATGTTCATTATTTATAAAAATTTGCAAGATTTCAGAATGATTACCTTTTATTCTATAAGAATAAAAATTCAGTTTTTGTTTTTGCAAGAAAGCGTTTGAACATACATGACATAATTATTTATATCAATTGGATGTCCATTTTTACGCCATAGAATATGAGCCGGTGGATGTGCAAATGTTTGACACATTAATTGAACTGTATTATTATTTTCAACTTGTAATAATTCTTCTGCATCATCATTCAATATTTCTGGTGGTACTTAAATAAAATAAAAGCATAAAGATATTTAAAAAAAAAAAGAAATGAAAATTTTTTGTTTGTTAATACCAAGAATTTCAAGTTGTAATTCAAGGGAATCAAACCCATATTCATTAGCAACGATACATTTCCATGTTTGACCATCTTCTAATTGTACATTTGGTATTAATAATTGATTTTCATTTAATTTTAATGAACGACGAGTTAATTCATGTTCAGTTTTGAAAGAAGGAGGAATCCATGTTGTATTAGTTATTACTATTAATGAAGATCGTTCACTACTATAAGGACATGAAAGTGTTATTGAAGAACCACGAACCACACTCGGACGAATATTTATATGACTACGCAATATTTCCGGTGGTCCTATTATAAAAACAATGAATTAAAAACAATTGTTATCATTTACATTCTTTTTTATTTACCAGACACAATAATATTAAAATATCGTCGATCTGTTCCAACATTATTCGAAACTATACATGAATATAGTCCAGCATCTTGTCTATCAACTGCTTTTATGAATAACTCTTTATCAAATCCATATAATTCTATTTCATTTTTATACCTATATAAAAATTTGAATAAATAATCATAAAAATATTCAATATACTTTCTCACCAACGCGTGACTGGTATTGGATATCCATATGCTGGACATTTCAGTGTTAAAGTTTCATTACGACGAATAATTATACGAATTGTTTCATTGTTTAAATTAATTGATGGTGGTGCTACGAAAGAAAAAAAAACAATAAAAACAAATATTTAATAACAAGAATTCTTCTTATACCATATGTTTCCAATATTATTTTTTTTCGAATTTCTCCTGCTTTATTCCTTACTATACATTCATATATACCTGTATCATTAATCTAAATAAATAAAAAGAAAGGAATAATTTTATATTGAAGTAAAACTAATCATTCAACTTGAACATGTTCAATAATTAGTTCTTCTTCTTTATTTTCTGATAATAAATTTGTATTGTAAGACCAATGAATTGATGGCTTAGGAACACCATAAGCTGAACAAGGTAATATAACTGTTGAATTAATTAATGCTTGTATTTTAACTTGTGTTAACGAATCATTAAATACAGGAGGAACTAAAATAATTTCAATAAAAATTTTTTTTTTAGAAATATTTCAATTCCATATACTTGATACATCAATATCAAAATATTTTTCAGCATGACCAGCTGAATTTTCTGCCAAACATATATAACGACCGGCATCATTTAATGTTAAATGTTCAATTTCAATATAAAGACCATCATAAACAAATCTTTAAGTATATATTTGTATTTTATATAATAAAAATCGTATTCATATTCTATTTACCTAATACGTGGTAATTCAATAATATTTTTTCCATTAAAAAACCATCGTCGTATAGGCATTGGTTTTCCTTCTACAGAACATGGTAAACGTAAATGTTCTCCATTTTTATATGTTTGTTCTGTTGCAAATATTCCATTATTTTCTTCACTAAACTTTGGAGGAACTAATTAATTAAAATTAAGAATAAAACAAAGATATATTATTCTATGACTATAATATAAATTTTTCTTCTTACTCATAACATCAATATCATATATAATATCAATTGATCCAACTATATTTGTTGCTTGACAAACATATCGACCTTCATCTTCAGACTAAATCAAAGAAAACATAATTTTTAAAAGAATATACTATTTATTTTACTTTAATTTTATTAATGATAAATTTTTTTCCATTTTGTTTAATAAAATGATGTTTCTTCTTTGGTTGAATTTCGTTTCCATTATAAAACCAAAGTAATTTTGGTTCCGGTAAACCAATAGCTGGACATAATAATATCAGTGTATGATTTAATATAATTGATTTTTGTTGAAGACGACTTATATTTTCTGATTTATATTCAAAATATGGTGGTACTATTTTATTAAAATTAAATAAAAATAAACAACAAAAAAAAGCAAAATTTCTTACTATGAACAGACATAGTAAATATTCGATGTGTTGTACCGGCTCTATTTGTTGCTGTACATCGATAAATACCTTCATCGGTTTGTTTTATATTTGCTAATATATACTGATCATTTGAATCAAATAATTCAAGTGGATTATCATTTTTATACCATTTAATTGTTGGATTTGGTGTACCAATAATAGGACAAATTAATTTTATTGTCTTACCAATTTCAGTTTGTATAATCATTTCTTTTTCAGTATCAATAATCCAAGGTGGAACTTTAAAAATATAAAAAATAAAGAAAAAAAAAAAAAATTTCTATAATGAAAAATACATACCGTTAACATTAAGTTGTACATATCGAGTTATTGTTCCTGCTGGATTCGTTGCTATACAATGATAACGATCACTATCTGTTACGTCAATTTTTCGAATTTCTAAAGAACCATTTGAATGTAAATAAGTATTTATATTTTGATTTTCTATATGAAATGTGTTTAAGATATCATGTGTCTACATATGAAAAGATATTCTTACGATTAATTGCATTATTTTGACGAAACCAAGCGAAAGTCGGTGGAGGATGACCAGTAACTGGACAAGGAAGAAGAATTGAGTTGTAAATATTTACATTAAGTTCAATTTCTACAGAATTATTTGTCAAACTGGGCGGTTCTAACAAAATCAAAAATAGTATATTTATTTCAAAAAAAAAAAAGAAAAACTTAGAAATTAAATAGTATTCATCAATAGGTTTATAACGAGAATGTTTTAAAATTATTTTTGACATTATATATCCTAGAGATCATCTCATTATCACATATCAATATCAATATATAGTGTCAGTTTTCGGGTTCAGATATAGTTTACAACTAAATTTTACCATTAAGCACTGTAAATAAATGTCTTATATAAGAAAAAACATTTATAATTTTATTTAGAATATTGTTCTAAGAGTGTCATCAAATGTGATTTGTGTTTTAAAATCAATTATATTTTCTAAAAATTATTGTATTTATAAAGAATTTTTTTTTATATAGATTTTTACCATAAACATCAACTTGAAATAATTGTTTTGCTTGACCGATTTCATTATAAATATCACAAGTATATGAACCACGATCGATTGTTTTCAATGAATGAATAGCTAATGAACCTGTTGAATCAACTGTCATTCGATCAGATTCCAAAACAAGTATCTAAACAATAATTAAATTAAAAAACCAACAACAATTCGATTGATTATTTTTCTTTTACATTATCATCTTTAAACCAATTAACAGTTGGTTTTGGTAAACCAATATGATTACAAGGCAACATCAATGGTTTTGAAACAATACCATGTAAATATCCATCAGATTCAAAAGTGAATCGTGGAATCACTAAAATAGAAAAAAAATCGAGAAATTTTGTAGATTCAAATTAAACTATCTATAAACATACTTGTAACAATTAAATTGATATTATCACTTGTATTTCCGAATAAATTAGAAGCAAAACATGTATAAATACCAGCATGATGTTGTTGAACATTTGTAATAATCATTGTCGATTTATCATCACTTTGATATGGACGTTCTGTATTATTATAATACCAACTGAAAAATAGACAATTTGATGTTTTTTTTTTTCGTACACAAAAAAGTAAAAATATCTCTATACACTATGTGAGGTTTTGGTGAACCATGCACTTCGCAAACAAGTTGGACTTTTTCATCGATTTCAATTTGAATTTCTTTGACAGGCAAATTTATTGTTGGTTTAACTTTAAAAAAAGAAGAAAAATTGAATAAAAAACAAAAAACAAAGAAAAATTTATTCTTACTCCCAACATCAAGACGAATTGATGCAGATGCTGATCCAACGGTATTTTGCACAAAACATGTATAATTACCACTATCTTCTTCTTCAGATGCTTGTCTGATGTGTAATTGTCCATTTGGACTTGTTCGATGACGAGTTACCTTTCACAGAAACATTCAAATTAGAATATTTTAATATAAAAAAAAAACAGCTTACAAGTTCATTTTCTTTAAACCAACGTATGTCAGGGTACGCCTCACCTATTACACTACATTTCAAATCAACATCATGACCAGGTGAAACAAGTATATGAGAACTCTCTGTTGTTACTGTAGGAGGTTCTGGAAATACATTATTATGATATAAAATACAAACATGATGATGTAAAAAAATATCCATACCAGCATAGATAAGTTGAGCTGCTTTAATATCTTCACCTGCTGTATTACTTCCAATACATTCATAAAAGCCTTTAAAATAAGAAAGTTTAACATAAAGACTAAATATACTTATTTTTTTTTTTATCAATTTTTCATACCTTCATCATCTTTCGTTGCCATTATAATCGTCAAAATTCCATTATGAACTCGTATTTTAGAGGATTGCTCCATAGGATTTATATTATTTTGTCGTCGCCATATTAATAATGGACGTGGAATACCAGCTGTACCAACACATGTTAATGTTACATTCCATTCATTTGAATACATGACAGTTTGTGGATACACATAAACATATGGAATTTCTATCATAGAAAGTAATGTTTGATTCATTATTAAAGATATCAATAATAAACACTCCTTCAGATCATACCTTGTACATGTAAAGTAATCCGTTCTTGTGTTTCACCACCTTCATTATGTGCAATACATACAAATATTGAACCATCATCTGGCTTTTGGATATTTCTAAATAGGAAATTAGATACTTGTCAAGATTTCTCTGAAAACTAAATTAAGTAATGGCATAAGATGTATTGAATGTACGCAATCGCCTGTGTCCGTGCAATATTTCTAAATTTTCTATGCTAGTCCTTAATGGAATTGCCGGAGATACTCGTAGAAACCATAATGTTAAATAGGAAAAATATATAAAAAATTATTCTTATGGCAACAAAAAAGAAATTTACATTAATGCCAAAGTGCCATTTTCAAAAATTCTTGTACGCGTTTCTGATGGTTCAATCAATAGTGATGATGATAATTCTCGCTTCCAATTTAATTTATAATCTTTTGTACTTTGTACAAGACAATCAATTGAAACAGTACTACCAATTAATGCAAATAATGATTTCGATGGTACCGTTTGCACAAGTGGTGGTGAAGCTATTTTATTTTAATTTTTTAATTCAAATAAAAATAAAATCATTTCAAATCTTCTCTTGTTTTGTTGAACTTACCAAGTATATCTACATTTATTTCACCAATATCATATCCACTAGTACTTGTGACATTACATATATATAATCCTTCATCATTTATTTCCGTTGGTTGATCAATGAAATATTCTACTGTTGTAGTTATATCAGCTCTTAACAAAAATAAATCAAAATGAAAACTTATAATGAAAAAAAAAGAAACACAAAAACTAAAAATATCCTATACGAATAATTCGAAATAGAAATCAATTGTCCATTTTTCAACCATTGAACTTGATATGGAAGTTGACTTTGTATATGACATTGAATTTTATTTGAAATATTTGATTTTATTTCAATAGAATTTGAATCAACAGTAACAACTGGTTTTAATGGTATATCAGATGTAAGTGCTGTTGAACTTAAACGTTGAAAAGGATGACCATTACTATCTGTGCCAGATAACTAAATTAAATTTAAAAATTAAAATTAAAATTGAATCATATTAAAAAGAAATATATGAATTACTCGAATGTAAAAGAAAAAAGTTTTAACAGGTGGTTCAAATTTTTTAAGAGTTGAATATAGTGTTGAATCAACAACATTTGATTGAAGTTTTTCGCTGATAAGTACATTACCAAATAAATCAATTAATTCAATTTGTTCAGCATTACGAACATTATCTTGACTATTTATTTCAATTGTTAAATAAGTTAAAGTACCTTCACAAGGAAGAAAAAGAACAATCAATTAAATAAGTTTTAATTAAAGTAAATATGAATTTACCTTGAATAGGTTGCCGACGTGTTCGTGTCAAATCAGTAATGAGATTTGATGAAAAACCATATCGAAACGTTAATCTACTTAAACCTGTTATACGAATCGAATGTGCTGATGAGGATATGACTTGAATTTTCCATTCACCAATCTTTAATCAAATTGTATAAACAAGGTATATATGAAATGTGTCAGCAATATCGAACAAATTTAATGTAAATAGAAATAATTATTTAAAGAATTTCTGTCGAAATTAAGGATAATTTAATGATTGATTTATCTGTTCATATTATAAGCTTAAAGTGCATTAAATCTGAAACAGTTTTTCTTCTTCTAGTGACTATAAATTTACAAGAAAACATGACAGAAAGCATGACAATCTCTTATTTATTTCAGAATTTTATATGCACTAAGATAACATTATTAAAGGGAATTATTCGTCAAATCGTATGGGGAATTTCATCAATTATTTCAAGCATTATGTCTATTCTAGTTGACTGATTAATATTGTTAAAACAAATAAAAAGCATCGAAAAATAACTTATTGCGTTGTGTTACTCATATATATTATCGAAGAAAATAATGAAACCAAATTTTAAGTTGAAGTTTTGTGACTCTCTCTCTCTCTCTCCATTACAAACCTTAGGAAACCAAGGTGAAAGCTTATTGATCCAAGCTTTTTTTACTACTATTAGTGTTCTTTACTGAATATTTTGCCGAGACACTAAATAGAAATTTTGCATAAAGATTAAAATTTTTTTAATAAACTGGATTCGATAAAGCAGTGTTTTAGGTTTCTCATGACATACTTTAATCAGTAAAAAACTATTATCTCTTTCATTTCATTGAGACAACGTTTGAGGAGAACATATTCGATCCAAGTGCACTTGGACAGAACATACTTATGGATCTTTTTTGTTCTTCTTTTATCCATTGAGAAAACAACTTACTGGAAGAAAAATGAGTATGATACTTCTTTATCGAATCTAGATTATAAGAAAAAGACCTTAGTTTTGATGTATAGTTTGTATTTAATGTTTATTCACACTCGACAAAAATATCCGATATACGACACTAAGTACAATAGTATAACTTTAATTGAATCTTAAAGTAAATTTAATTTACCATTGGATGTTTTACATTTAATATATAAACTTCTTTAAGACGTAAAAGACGTGTAAACCATGCACGTTGATTTAATGTTTTTTCTAAAGAAAAAGGTAAATTATAAATTCAATTAAGTAATAAATTTGAAATAAAATAATACTTGATGGATCAATTAATGTTACTTGTGGATTAGCACCACTAACTGATATAGTAAATTCAAGAAGTTTAGAATCAACTGCTAATGTATAAGTTTGTTTATTTCGTTTGATTTTATCAATAACTAATAAATTAACTTTTCGTGTTTGAATTGAATGTTGAACAAAATTAAGAATCTATTAAAATTTTTAAAAAATCAAATCAACAACAAAACAGAATTAAATTTATTTTCATTATACCTCGCTAACTTGTTGTTTATGTAAAGTAAATACTTGTCCACTACTAGTAGCAGCAATTTTATGAAATATTTGATAGCCTATATGCTCTTGATCACCACAATCACCTGTCATGACGAACACAACCTTTATTTGAAACACAAATGAAATATATCTTAATAAAAGAGCAAAGAAAAGAGTTTTTTTTACTTGACTTTGCTTTTCTTGAATTAATTTTAAAACAGTATCACCTGAAGAATAATCTTTTGAACGAGCATCAGTAAATACATAAATAAATGAATTTGGTAATGATTGTTCAAGAGCTAATTTAATAGCCGTTATTGTCATTTCTGGACAATCACCACCACCTTGTACAATTAAATCTTGTAAACCTCGTTGAAATCGATTTGAATCACGAGTTTTTAATATTGGTCCAACATCTATATATATATATATTAATAAAAATCTTTTGATATTTTATGATATTTACCTGGATCAGCAAATGGTATAAGTATATAATCATAAATAGCATATTCTCGTTGAAGTGTTGCGTTATAGATATGTGTTGCACCTTGAATAACTTGTAAAAGATCATCATGCATTGATCCAGTTACATCAAATACAAAAGTTACACTTGATGTTCCTAATGGTGGATTTGTTTGATTAGAATAATCAATTGATAATATGATTATAAATATTATAAATATTATTGTTCTCATTTTGTAATTCACAATTGAATATAACTTTGATTATAGAGACAATTTCATGTGAATTATATTATGCATATAGTTGTGTCTTTTGCGTATCACCATTCATATGCTCGCCTTTTCTGTTCTAATACAGTTTCTTTTTTTTTTCGCATATTGAGCCTCCAGGACACGTTCAATCGGCAAACGAGAGCGGATGAATTGATGACCTAACAGATTAAACCAATGTGTCACTAGTTGATCATGTATACAGTGGTATGCATGCATGCGTGCAAAAGAAAGCCTAGTGGGTGTATGAGCTCAATGTGAAGTTGTTTATTATTATGCCTCATTGAATGACCAATCGATTGATTCTTTTTTGTTTTGACTTGTATATTTAGACAATTTAGCCTTCAGGTAATATATGACTTCTTAATTATTCATGCGTTGTTCTAATTTTCTCTTCCAAATAAATCATAATCTTTACAGAAAACATGGAAACTAATCCTAAAGTTTTTTTCAACTTATTTTCATTTGTTAATTATTGTTAGATAAAATTTGAATCAAATAAATAGTATAGTTGCATGACAAAGTTCATATGTACTCAAACAAAAACTCTTTTGTTGCTAAACTTTTTCCTTCATTTTTATGTAAACTTCCTGCCAGCATATAAAATTTTTGACAAAAAAACCAGAAACATCTGTCATATTAAAGTTTCTATTAATAATAATTGATGCATGGTTCAGGGACGGTTATATATATATATATGTGCATGTTATAAATCAAACGTGCTGTTTTTATGTTGACTGAGACTGATGTTAAATACGTGCATGGAATTACTAAATTCTAAATGAATGATTATCAACTTTTGTTGTTTGACGTTCACATTGATGTAATATTCCATCTAATTATAATAAACTACATGACGCATAAAAAAAAAATGTTGATTTTTTTTCTAATTATTTGAAAAAAGAAAGAAAAGAAATAAGAAAAAAAGCTCAATCTGAGTGATAATAAATATCGACAGAAAAATTTAGGTGAAAAGTTTTCTCATTGATTATTTATTTTGTATTAAATAAAAAAAAACAAGTTTTTGAACAAGAATCAAATAACATTAACTTCAAATTTACGAGCATTTGTGATTTGTCGTCATGATCTTTAATAGCTTATCTACATCTGCCATTTTGATTCTAGATTGCTCGTAAATATTCCCATGCCATTAAATTCATTTTTTTTTCTACAATAACAAATATAAGTTTTCTATATACTCATAGACACTATCACCATTGGTTCTCTAGTATGCACGAACGTGAGTAGCATGAGAAAAAGATCTGAATAAATAAGGTAAATGTTTTACACATCAATACATTATCATTATCACCATTGTCATCGCCACTAGAAACAGAAACATTAACATAGCAAAAAAAAAAAGAAAAGAGAAAAAGAATAACAAGAGAAATAAATCAAAAAATTTGCTACATGACAGAACTGTGTGAAACGTTACATTGGTTTATATACGCCATTCGATACATCATCAACTATTTCATTCGTTCTATTCCGAAGATAGAAAAAAAATTATAGTTATTACGTTTAGTTTTTACAAAAAAGCTCACGTTATCGTAATGTTCTTGTTCATTCGTTGCTTACGCCTAAAAGGCAGACAGATCTTTGCGGATGAAAGAACACTAATAACATCCGGAATACTTGCGCACATATTTCGACATAGATCTCGACATACCGTTAGAAAATATGAAGATTTTTTTCTTTTTCTCTCCATTATAGAAGAATAGCGTGTTAGGTGGTAACAGGCAATACTCAACTTTCTGGCTCATCATTCACAATAATACAGGTAAACGAGCACACCACCCATCAAATATAGATTTATTTCGACACTAAAGTTGTGATATAGTTTTTAGTGAACATGATCTCGAAAAGAAAATTTTTTTTATCATCTTTTACTTTATTTAGTAAATGTTTATAATCTAAAAATATTTATTGTCGACTATTGTTTATTTTTTTTTGCTTTTTTTGTCAGAAGTAGTATATTGATGACGTATGAAAGGTTTATCAAGTTGAAATCTATATTAAATTCAGAAGAAAATAATAATCTTGAGATTTATGTTTAAGATTTCATCGCAACAATAGAAAGTATTTGTCATGTTTTTTTTTTTTTCTATTTAATAAGCAATCTAAAAAGTCTAGTTCTCTAAGAAAATAACATTCAAATAACGATCTTTTCAAGAAGAGAGAAGAAAAAAAGTTAGGATACTATGATGTGTGAGACATTCAGATTACAACAACATTTTCTTATTTTTATATGTTCAAGACGTCAAATTTCTCATGTGACATTAGTTGCTATCTAATTGAACACGAGAGCAAGTAGTACTTATGATTGACATATACAGAAAAAAAGAAGAAACATGGGTTTGTTGCCGTGAATGAATGACGTTTACAAAGGCATGTCTGACGAGTCTATCTGCTCAGGCTGAATGATGAATAAAAAGAGTTCTATAACCAATTAGTAAGTTACATGAGAGAAAGAAAAAAGAGACAATGAAAAAAAAATGATTATTCTAACTAGAAAAAATATAAATGACAACAACAATGTGTGTGTGTCATGTTTCTAGTTTAGATGAATTACGGTTTATTGTATAATATGTGCAATAAAAACAAAACTATAAAAGAATAGACGAAGCGCATCATTGCATTTCATTGAACATATTCATCAAAATTAACACGCATATTGATAGTTAGTAATATTAAGATCAAAAGAGCGAAGTAAAATAAAAACTAAGAAAGAAAGAATATATATAGAACTACTCATGTGTATGTGCTAGCAATAAACTACTATATGGCAATTGGTTCATACTGAGCTGATTCCAAGAGTACTTGAAAAGCAATTCTCTCGTTTTCCTTCATGTTTTTTTTTTCTTTACAACTATTCAGTCGTCATGATATATACGACTTACAAGTGAAGAAAGGGAAATGAACACTTTTAGCGCAAATCTAACCACCTATAAAATGCGTAAAAAACTTATAACGAAATTACCAACACTTAGCCTCTATATAATTATTGTCGAATCTGCCTATTTGTCAGTTTTTTTCTCTCACTCTCTGCTTTCACCGATTGACAAATTATGTATGCTGAGCAACTCTTCGATGTTGTAAACTTTTCTAAACAAGAAAACTTATATATAGAATCGACTACCTTCGTTAATTTACTATTCTCTACTTTAACTTCCTTTCTAACTTGCCTAAGGTCTTATCGTGCGCATCGTCTGTCAGGCGATCCATATCCTCTTCCTCCTCACTATAAAAAGTTTAAGGAAGTTCTTAGTGTGTATATGTTGCTCTATTGTTATGCTTTCGTTTCGTATATAACGGTATATAGAGACACAAACTGGAAGTCTCAAGCGATTTTGTCGTCAACATCATTTAATTCAATTCATCGTAGGTTGTGCATTAACAGTAACAGCGGCCGTCGAACTTTTAACGGTGTTTTCTTTTTTTTTTCTTTCTTCTTCTTTTTCTTTCTCATCTTCTCACTATTCTCTTCATTTCTTTCTACACATCAACATTCACTGATCTTTTTAATACCAATTATTATTAGTTTCCTTCTTCGCTCTGCTTCTCATCTGTCGGTCTTTTTCTTATATTAGCGTGCAGCATCTGTGTTCAACAAGAAAACAAATTTTATCAACACTTTTATATTGATTCCACCTATAGACGTTTTCATCAAGATTGTTATTATTTGAACATATAAATTTACAACAACTGTGATGGATATTCAGGAAAATGGGGTATGCAATTTTCTTGATGATTGGACTCAAGAATAGAAAAAAATTCATTTTTCTTATCATAATTTATCGTTAACTATAGATACAAGAAAAATAAATCAAAAGTAAAAGATAAAACAACAGATTTTTACCTCTTTGATCATATATTGAACAAAACACAAAAAAAAACATTTATATTTCTTCTACATTTCTTTTCATTCATTTAAATATTTACAACTTTGAAAGAATCTAATGAATAAAAATGATTATATATTGACATAAGTACCATGTTTTATCAATATTATTTTATTGAAACATTCATTGTGTAGACTTTTTTATTTTTATTTCTCACATTGCGTTTCCAACGTTCCGTTTCATTTTTCCTTCTTTTTCTGCCTTCGTCTTTATTTGTTACTGTGCTCAACAACTATCCGTTCTTTTCTAACTATCATAAAAATCAACAAGAGAGAAAGGCAACTATTTACTGTTTATTTACTATTAATCATATTTTATATTAATACACGAAATTAATAAGAAAAGATCTCTGCTAGTAATCAATCTTGAATACGCGGTGGGACTTTTTTTTTGGTTGGTTTTTTCACTTCGCTGCGTCATGAACATGCAAAACTCATGCATGAGCATGTACCTTATATTACTGACACTTTCTTTTGCTTATGCTTCGACAGCAGTACTCGACGACTGTAGTTCTTGTTTTTTCCTTTGCTCTTTTCTTATTGTTGCACATCCATTCATCAGGTTTCTCAATATTGCTGTGCATTGACACACTATAGTCGTTATCTTTTTCTTGTTAAAATAAAAGAGTCAGAACTATGAATTTGTATGATCTTTGAGTGGCTTAGTTTTTTTTTTTCCGCAGTTTTTTTTTCTATAGTTAGTAACTTATAAAAAGCATAAGAAAAATGGATAATGAAACAAATTCTTCTTTTCAAAATTAATGAATAAAAATCAAAGTTTATACATATTCTATTATTTGAGTTTTGACCAGAAATGAAAGAAAAATTAAAAATTTATTTAGGAATTTGATTTCTTATCATCATCATCGTCACATTGTTCGAAACTAATCAATATGACCGATCAAGATACACGTTATCGTCTTGTTCTACTTGGAGCTAGTCGTACAGGAAAATCATCTATTATTCATATGTTTTTAAATGGAAAATTTTTGGATACATATAAAGAAACTGTTGAAGATTTACATTATCGAGAATTTACTGTCGATGATAAAACAATTAAAGT